CAGAATACAGAAGTACACAAGTTAGAAGTTAGTTAAGTGTGACTTCCTCCATCTCCAGCACAAACACCAACCTACGACTTTATCGAAATGTACCTTTTGCTTGTTCCAAGTTGGCAGCTGCACTTTCTAAACTCAGGGTTGTTGGTGCTGCAGGGTCAGGGCCAGCTCAAAGCAGTGCAGGGCTTCCCAAAGCCATGATTTTTACCCATTATGGCTCCACGGCAAAAGCCCGGCCACATATACCCGGAGCTCTGGGCTTTGACTTCAACACTCTTTATTTTGTTGTAATGAACAAACAAACAAACAAATCATTTTTGATTGCCTGAGCAATAGCATCAGACAATACACCCACAACTAGATAAAAGAAAGCCAGGGGAAACAGGAGAGAGCTCCAGGGCTTGTCCAAAGGGCTGACTTTGGACTTTGGTTCCACCCTCTCCCTGCTGGTCTTGGACAAGGCTCTCTGCCTGAAGGACCTGTGTTGAATTTCTGTTTCTCCTGGGTCACTTGGGATCCCTCGCCCTCATGGTGCCTGTGAACTTCAAATTAGACACATGTGAGGTTGCTTTTGCAGGGGTCCTTCGGCATCAGCCCTCGGGGGCCGTAACTAGGACAACGGCTTCTGTGGGCTTAATCCTGCTAGGGTTATGGCGTAAGCTTGGAGCCGAGATGTTGGAAGTGATTGGGGAAAGCCAAAAGGAACTGAAATGTGTTTTCTCTTTTTTCCCCCTCCCTCCCTTCTCTACCTCAGCAATTGAGACACAGAGTACCAGCTCTGAGGAGCTCGTCCCGAGCCCACCATCTCCACTTCCTCCTCCTCGGGTCTACAAGCCCTGCTTCGTCTGCCAGGACAAGTCATCGGGGTACCACTATGGCGTCAGTGCCTGTGAGGGCTGCAAGGTGAGTACCCCAGTGCCTCAGCTCCTCCTTTTCCCCTGGCACCAGTATGGCGTCGATGCCTTGAGGGGTACAAGGTGAGTACCCCAGTGCCTCAGTTCCTCATTTTCACCTAGCTCTCATGATGTGACCCCCCCATTCCAGAAACAAGTTAGCTTGACAGCTGAGCATCACCTCCAGCTGGGGCTGTAGCTTGGCTGCATCTCATGGTTTCTGTCACCTGCTTTCATTTCTTTAGTTTAAAGTTCAGAAATGTCTGTAAATGAGTGACTGAGCCCAAACAGTCCTGGGCCTTTAAAATGTGCCACCACTGCCCCCTGCCCCGGCTCTGCCAAGTTCTTTCTTGCTAAGAACCTTTTGAAGAAGTCCTAAGCAGCATGTCTCTGTTTCTCTTGGGACATGCCATCTGGTGTCTTTGTACTTCTATTTTATTTTTAAATATATGACTGACAGTCCACCGAAACAACTTGCAGGAGAGCCAAGGTTGAAATTGGGATTTATCTCCTGGCTGCCTCCCTCAGCCCCGTGGCCTTTGAATTACGCTTTGATTCTCAGCTTGTACAGACTCGCTACTGTCGGTGCACCGTAAATTCAGCAAAGCTGGATTAAAGCTCCTGCCCACAGAACCCTGGAGGCTGAACATGTGTCAGACAGGAGATGGCTGCTTTGAATCAGGCTAGATAACGATTAGCAAGCCCAAGAGGCATAGCTGAGAAAAAAAGAGGTCCTTCTGATCTTAAGGAAGAAACTAAAAGAGACTCAGAGGCAGACGCGACGTATCCACAGAACTGTGTTGTCTTGAGCCAGCCCTTCCCTAGGAGCTCTGCTGTCTAGTTCTATCTGGCTGTTCAGGTGTGGTGTTCTATATCAAGACTGCACGATTCGCCTAGATTGTTAAGGCGCTAGGATAACTTTACAGGCTCTGTGGCATGAGCTTATCCAACATGAGCAGTTTCTGCACTTCGTGATCAGACACTGTTGGGTAGTGCGTCAGTGATGGCTTGATGTCTTCATGGCACAGCCCTTCCTTTTCCATGGCTCCCAGTTCTGTGAAAGAAGCACACAAGGTGTCCAGAGCAACATGCCGAAGAGCCAAATCAGTCAGGGCTCAGCCTAGCGTCGACAGGTCAGAACACCCTTTATGGGAGCAGCTCTGAGAAGCCGTCTCAAGAAGTGGCTATGGGGTGGAAGCCCCTGGCTTGTAGTCTGTTTGCTTTCCGTATGAGCAGTACGGGCCATGCTCTCCTCCTCAGTCCTCCCAGAATGGGTGCTTAATGACATAGAATGAACAAACATGTAAATATCACTCAGTCCTGCAAAGCGAGGACAAGTGTTTCCTCCTTTTACCAATCATTTTAAGAAACATGATATTTTACCATGTAAGACCAGTTTTGGAAAATGCACATTAAGAGTCCTGCTCTCCCTGGGAATGTGAGAGGTGCTTTCAAGTGACTCTCTTCCCTTCTGTCATTGCCAAGGTGGCAGCTGGCACTGGCTAAAACACTTATACTCACACACCTGCTTCCTAGTGCTCACCCGTAGCTGAATCCATGTAAACACCCCTAACATTTGAGGACTTCTGTGGAAAGCTGGGGCAGTCTGTTCACTTGTTGCATAATAAGAAAACAGCTCAGTTTGTGATGCTCATTTGAAAGGTAAGTGAAGAGATACTTTTGGTTTATTTACTACATAGTTATTAGACAGGGTTGTCGCAAGGAGCTGCTTGTTCGTTCCCGGCCACTTAACCCCGAAATAATCACACAGAAACTATATTATTTAAAGCACTGCTTGGCCAATTGCTTAAGCATATTGCTAGCTAGTTCTTACATCTAGAATTAACCCATCTACACTATTTTATACTTTACCACGAGACTCGTGGCCTACCAGCAAGATTCTGGTGTCTGTCTCCAACAGGGCTACATGACTTCTCTCTGACTCTGCCTTCTTTCTCCCAGCATTCAGTTTAGTATTCCCCACCTAGCTCTGTTCCCCTATAGCTCTGCTATAGGCCTAAAACAGTTCCTTTATTAACCGATAATATTCACAGCATACAGAGGGGAATCCCTCATCACCTCCCCTTTTCTGTTTAAATATAAAAGGAAGTTTTTAACTTTAACATAGTAAAATTACACATAAAAAGGTATCAAGCATGAATTACATTTACAATATTTATATCTACTTTATCTTTTATAGTGACTAAGAAAAATTATAATAACTATCTATTCTTCATCTCAACTATCTATTCTTCATCTCCATCAAAGACTCCAGAAGGATATAATGTTACCTAAATAAACAATAAGTTTATTGTAAGCAACTTCCAAAATTTTAGAATTGACAGAGACATCTCACTGCCTGGACAGTCACCCAAAGTTCTTCTGTACCATTGGGGCATCCAATCTTCAGCCTAAGGCCCATAGTTTCCAGCAGATTTTTCCATAAAACAGGAAATTTCAAAGAAAGTTCTGCTTATATTGGCAGTATGTCAGTCATTTTCTTTTGCATCTTTCATGAAGCAGGAACCCCAAAGGATCATCTCATCTATAGGCAAGTTCAGCAGTCATTTTTCTGTGGGTCCTGCATGTCTAGTTCATCAAGCAGTCCAGGCAAGAGCAGTTTCTTGCCCAAATGGCTAACCAGCTCCATAAGGAGCCTCTTCGATGCCCATCTTTCTCTTGAAGTAATTGTTGCTGCCAGGAGCAGATGTGTCTCTGTCATGAAAAGTCTTAACTTCTTAAAACATTTTAAATACCATATTATGTGGTCTTTGAAAGGTTTGAAGAATGCCTATCTATCTGAAATACATCTCCGTACATGTAGAAAATCTAATTAACATGACTACAAGCTTGACCATTATACATAATTATCTATTAACCTGTATTTCTTAATTATACATTACATTTTTTAAATGAGCTGCATAAGCACAATACCTTAATCAAGAGCAGAAATATGCATATAGCAAAATTGACCTTAAGTTTGTATCAATAAACCAAGATCCATACCAATGCAAATCTCTATATCATATCCCCCTTTAAATGTAAAAGAACATTTATAAACAATATTTGGGAATATGGGGATAGTTATTCTCTAATCTGTTTCTTGCTGTTTATTGGGTGAAGTAATTTTTTGAAGGGTATTCAAGGCAACCTTTCAGGGGATCTTGGTCCATTAAACCATATTAATCTGGAAGCAATCTACAGGTTCTCATCCTCTGTAGAAACAAAAGAAAAACATCTTTTCCAAAGGAACATATCCTTAGACTCAAATTTTGAATTCAAGATACATTTGAAATATATATGTTGGCTTAGCTTAACAGTCCCTAGAATCAAATGTCTCTCTGTAGTAAAAAAAAAAAAAATTCAAAGATAACACAATCATATACATAATCTAGATTCTCTGTGAATTTTCCATCTTTATGTGGCTTGTTTTTACTCTATTGCTTTTTCTATAAGTTTAATATTTATTTTATTCTCTTCAGTCCATTAATCTATGACTGTCTGTACTCTGTCTCTTTAAAGACTTTGTTTTATTTTTTAAAAAATATTTACTTCTTTTTATAACTCCTTGTACTCCTTTTCTTTTCTCTCCCAAGCCTACATACCTTTATCCAACACTGTGACCCATTTAGAGGCCTTTTATGTCTGAATCTCTCCTATTGTGTATCTGCAATTCTTTACTGTCTTGACAAACTTTTAAAATGATAAGCAGCTTGGTTACAGCAGCTCTGGATGCTGGCTCCACTTCTCCCCACTTTCAAAATGGTGGAGGTACCATTACTGCCAGCTCTGGGACCACTAGGTAAGAGCTGTGCACCCCTAGCAGTCCTGATCCTGCAGCCTGCCTAAGCGGTGGGCACTGAGCTGCGGGCATGGTCTCAGCTACTTTCCCAAGTGGACATACAAGCACCAGGGCCCACAAATCCCATTCAAGTGCTCCCTAGCCAGATTTCCAGAAAGAGTCAGAGTTTGCGCCAGCAGCACAGCCCGGAAAGCTGGCATTTCAAAACCGCGGCTTTGTTTTCTGCTACCGCTGAATCAGGAAAACCTCTTTTAAAGAAGCTGTGGCATGTCACCAGCAAATAGCAAGAAGCTGTGTTGCACTCTGTATTTTTGTGTTTAAAATTCCTTTTTAAGCTTGTTCAGGTTTTATGTGGATTTTAGTACACTATGTTGATGTATCAGTTTGTTGCAAGGAGTCGCTTGTTCACTTCCAGCCACTTAACCCTGAAATGATAAAAAAAAAAAAAACAAAACTATATTATTAAAAACACTGCTTGGCCTTTGCTTAAGTATATTGCTAGCTAGCTCTTACAACTAGAATTAACCTATCTCCATTATTTTATATTTTACCATGAGGTTCATGGCCTACCGGCAAGGTTCTGGTGTCTGTCTTCAGCAAGGCTATATGGCTTCTCTCTGACTCTGCCTCCTTTCTCCCAGCATTCAGTTTAGTTTTCCCCACATAGCTCTGTTCCCCTATAGGTCTGCTATAGACCTAAAGTAGTTTCTTTATTAACCAATGATATTCATAGCATACAGAGGGGAATCCCACATCACAGGGGGTCACTATGTAGCCCAGGATAGCCTGGAACTCACAGTCATCCAGCTGCCTCAATCTCCTGAGTGCCAGGATTACAGACATTAGCTACCCCATCATCAAAAAGCATGCCTCTTCCTTTCTAAACAATTTTCAGTTATCTCAAACCCCGAAATCTAAAGAAGGCGTGGCAGCTTCCTGCTTGCACTAAGGCCAGGAAGGACAGCACCAGGCTTGTCCTTCCTCCCTCAGGCAGATACCCGACCTGTAGGGTAAGCAATTTGAGGCACAAACTGTTCTCATCAGCCCCTGCTCAGTTAATTCTCTAACCTCCTGTTCTACTATGGAATTCTGACTCTCTTTAGGAAAAATCCCAACAAAAATAAATCCTTGCCAGCGCAAACAGCTGATAAACTCGGTTAAGGGAACCTGAGTCTCAGGATGGGAAAGCCTTTCACTAGAACCATGATCTAGACCAGGTCATGGAGTTCCTGGCATGAGTGAAATTGGAACACTGGGTGCTGGGGTGGCTGGACACTGACTGGCTTTCCCCTGGTGGTAGGGGAAAACTTTCTCTGCATTTGAGCTGGCTGAGAAAATAGTGCAGAAATTGAGAGAAACGAAAACAATGAGAAGGTAAAACATTAATGAATAAATGTTCATTATTTATGAAAAAAAATAACAAAATGTTTAAGTACAAAATACACTCTTACTGGTTATTTAACACACCAATATAGTCGGTGTCTGAAAACTAGAAAGCAGCATGGTTCTTCTCCAGGGAGAAATCTGTTAAAAGTCAGTGTTTATGTGAATTTATAAATTTTGATTTTACAGAAATAAGCTGTTACATTGTATAACCAATTTAAAATGACTTCATATTTAATTTTTTTGTAGTCAAAATTTACTCAATTATATAGCTTCTTTGCTGATACAATTAACACAATTTCTGCTGGTTATAGTATAAATTATCTAATTAACCCCTATTATCTAAGAAGGCACTTCTGATTTGCATCTTCTATAAGTAATACTTCTATAAATAATAGTCTTTGGTATACCCGTGGATAACTTAGTAACAAAAGACAGTATGTCATTGGCTTTATATACTTAGAAGGGTGTGTGAGCATGGGTGTGTGTGGGTGGTGGTGGGGTTACTGGGGATTGAACCTAAGGCTTTGTGCATAATAGGCAAGCACTCTATCAGCTGACAAAATGCCCCTCCACCCTTCCTTTCACTCCTAAGGCTTTGGATACAGGTAGACAATATCAGCTTATGCTATTAAGTCGACAAGTTGGTCATGTTAGGCCCTCTCCCTATTGACACTAAGGTGATGGACTCAGTACAGCGTCTCCTTTGAAGTCCCTCTGTTCAATTAGAGGTTTACAGGAAGATTTGACTTTGACTACCAGCAAAGGCACTATTGACCCCTGGTTGGTCTAGTTCTTCCCTGGTGAAGAAGGGTCACTATTCCAAATGGATAGTCTCTCCTTGGAAGTAGGATTTCTAAATAAAATCGAGAACATTCTCTCAAGAACTAACAGAGGGTCAGGATGCAGCTCAGCTAGCACAGTTCAATCCTAAGAGGTGTGAAGCCTTAGAGTCCATCTCTAGCACCGTTTAAACTTGGCTCCGTGGAATCTGCCTGTTCACTCAGGAGGTGGAGGCGGGAGAACAAAAGTCATCCCGGGCTACATGGAGATATTTGAGACCCTGCTTCAAAATAAATAAAGTAATGCCAGGAGTGGCTTCTGCCATGTCTTGACCACGATGATCTTACCATTATTGGTTAAAAAACAGAAAGCAACTAAAACCCTCCATCTTCCAAGGGACCAGGTGGCAGTGGCCGTCACCACAGCAGACATGATGATGATCAGAACTTAATGAATGGGTGTGTTTCACCTCTGGGACAGGCAGTGACTGCCATGTTGACACAACATCACCATGGCAACAAAGCCACTGGACACACCCTTGGGATGTCCCTTTAGGGGACTTCCAGTAGAGTGACACGTTTTCCAGGGCACAGAGAGAACAAGATGTGAAAGTGTGGTGAGGCAAAGGTTTGGCAATATAAAGTCATAAAAGAATATTATAAACGAAATGATAACCCAGAGGTACTGAGGACTTCCAGGACTCACTCAGCACATGGGAAGCTGAAGCAGGAGGGTCCTGAGTTTGAGACCAGCTACAGGCACTTAGTAGTACCTAGTAATTATTCACATCTAATATATATATATATATATATATATTACATATATATGATTTATGTAAAATTTGGCCTGAGTCATGTATTATACTATTGTGTGTTCGTTTTGCTCTTTTGGCTTTATAGGGGGCCCACCACCCAGCTCCCAAGTAAATCACACATGGAGGCTTATTCTTAGTTCACAATGCCCGGACTTAGCTTGGTTTGTTTCTTACCAGCTTTTCTTAACCTAAATTATCCTGACTATTTTTTGCCTCTGGGCTTTTACCTTTCTTACTTCTGTATATCTTATTGTCCTTCTTATTCCATGATTGGCTGGGTGACTGGGTGACTGATGTCCTCCTGTCCTTGTTCTCTTGCTCCTTGTCCATGCTCCCCAGATTTTTCCTTCTGTTTATCCTCTCTCCCTACCAGCCCCACATGTCATTGCTCCTGCCTTGCTATTGGTCGTTCATCAGGTGTTTTAGACAGGCACAGTAACACAGCTTCACAGAGTTAAACAAAGGCACTGTAAACAAAATTCACATCCCTGAAAATAATATTCCCCAACATTATTCTTCTATCCTGCTATGATTAACTTTCTGAGAATATAATCTACAGGGCAAATTCCAGGAACCAAATCCCGCTAGGCTACTTCCGGCTTGATGGCCACAAACCAACATGTGCATGACATGGCCCGCCATTTCCACACTGGGAAAAAAATGGAATGGGGTAATTGCTTTTCTAGTCACTGTGATTGAAAACCTGACCAAAAAGGGACTTTAGCGGCAGAGAGGTTTCTCTGCCTACCATTTGATGGCACAGTACATCTCTGTTTGTTCCCATCTCAGTTGATCAGGAAGCAGAGAAAGGGGTATGCTGGCCCTCAGCTAGCTTCTATCTTCCTCTTTAGGACTGAGTCTGGATCCGCAACCCATGGAGCCACACTTTCCAAGGGCTCCCCCTTGGCTAACCCTCTCTGGAGTCAGCATTAGGAATGTACCCAAAAGGTGTGCTTATCAATGCCCCGGGTGCTTGTTTTTGGTTTGTCAAGACAGGGTTTATCTGTGTATCTCTGGCTGTCCTGGAACTTCCTTTATAGACCAGGCTGGCCTTGAACTCACAGAGATCCACCTGCTTCTACCTCCCTGAGTGCTGGGATTAAAGGCATGCGCCCCCACTGCTCGGCTAGTGTTTCTTAATCCAAACACAACTAATAATGAAAATTTTCCATCATATAGAGACATGTAATCTTTACCACAGTGTTACTGGGAACATGAAATCATTTCCCATGCACAGAGCATGTGGGGTACCACACAGAATCTTCTAAGGACCATACACACTTAATTCCTGTGGACTCAGAAGGTGGAACAGTACCTGATACCTTCTACCATACACACTTAATCCCATGTAGGTAGCAGATTGAGTAATATCTGTTATATACTAAACATCATTGTGCACTTAATCCCTAGGTACACACCATGTATTATGGAATAGTCCCCGACACCAATGACACATCATACATACTTCAAATGTACTCAGCATGTTCTAGGACCTAGCACATTTAGTTTCTACTCATCTTCTCATTAACTTGAGCAGAGCTACGACACACAGGGAGGTGACTTCAGCTCCAGTGTTAGCCCTCCACTGATAATGCTCTTACAGCATTTCCTCGTTCCTTTGTACAAAAATAAACACGGCCTATTTCCTTCAAGACTCAGACAACCACCCAATCCAAATCCACCTGGGTTGCTGAAGACCCCGCGTGGTAAGCTGCTCCTATGGAGAGCCCTATGGTAGGTATTTTTGGTTTTGGAGATGTAAGGTCCTCTGTCAGGATGACTCAATCCCACTCCTCCAGCCAGCCACGGTAAAACGTGTCATAGAACAGGGATGGCGCTGCACCAACTGCTTCACATATAAAGATCAAACAGTGGCCCAGATGTCCTGCGCTGTTCTTCCTTGATCCCTGCCACAGCGCCTGGTGGCACGTCCCTTCTCAGAGCCTAGATCTCCAAAGCTCCAAAGAGAGCAGGCCGAACTGCCCTGCAGCATGAACGGTTGACGTCTTCCTGTGCAGAGTTCTAGTCGCTAGCCTCACAGTACCTACGTTCTCGTCGTCATGGGAACCCACGGCTTGCTATTGGGTCGCTGCTGTATCCATGTTTCCTGCTGCCCAGCCCCAATGCTTTGTGCCTGACTGGACAGTTATCACCGGTGCAGTTCTGGGAGAGTCTTACTCTGATGGCCAGGCTAAGGCCAGTCATTCTAACGTGGGCTTTCTCACGTGACCCAGATCCTGCTGGAATTCATGTCCTTTTCCCGTCGCCATGTTGCCCTACCCATTAGGCTCAGCTCCGTTGCTCACAGCGGTGGGCGAGCGGGCGAGCGCTAACTAAAGATAAAGTCACCACAGATAGGCAAATGCTTTTCTTCGTTTATTTTACTGTAGGCAGAGGTTTCTATCTAGACCACCCATCAGCTCCGTCCCATCAGCCGCTCCCCAAAGAACCACATAGAGACTTAATATTAATTATAAATGCTTGATTGATAGCTTGGGCTTGTTTTTAGTTGACTCATATAATTTCAGTTAACCCATTTCTATTAATCCATGTGCTGCCCCGAGGCTTGTTTATCTCATGAATGTACTTCCCGTCCATCCAGCTTGCTCTGGTCCATGTCTCATGGTTTCTCCCTGACTCCACCCTTCTTCCCAGCATCCTCTTAGTTAGGCTCTCCTGCCTAACTTTATCCTGCCTATCCTGAAGGACAGGCAGCTTCTTTATTAAATCAATCACAGTGAAACATATTCACACAGTGGAAAGGAATATTCCACATTTTACTTATGCAGTGCTAGGGAAATTCTCTACCGCTGAACTGCTTCCCTGAGTTTTTAACCTATCATGAGACTGCTTACCAGTGTGCTTTCGAACCAACCAATTGCTTAACTAAGCCTTACTCCAGTGAGTGAAGAGCTGGCAGAATTACCTTGCACAAGGGAAAAATAACTATGCTGGCATGTTTCTCCCTTCTGCTTCCTGTCTTCTCTAGCATCCTGGGCAGGCATGTCTCTCCCAGTGACGAAACTCACTATTCACACTTAACCACTCTTTTCATTCTAGGGCCTATAGCAGGTAGGAGTGACGCATAGTGACCAGTCCTGTTTGCACAAGGATAAAATCGTGCAGGTAGCAGAAAACTGTGCATCATTTAGGCCTTTGTTCCAGGAGCCCATTTAGCTCCACAGCAGCTTTGAACACTTCACAGACAAGAATGCTGAGAGGTTAAGGATCTTGGCCAAGGGTGTACAGCTGGTCTTTGTCAGGGCTAGGAAGAAATCCTGTATCTGTTGTCACACCCCACCACTGACTTAGCTGCGTCGCCCAAGGAAGTGGGCTGCAGAAGTACACCATGCTCTAGACTCCCTCTCTCTGGGCAACTAGGTAAAAAACAAACATTCCTTTACCTGCTGACAAGATTTAGAAAAAAATAAATATCCGGGCAGAGTGGCACACCTAGAATCTTAGTAGTCAGAAAGCTGAGGCAGGAGGATCAGCACAAATCTGAGGCTAGCCTGGATCACACAATGTTCCAGGTCAGCCAAGGACACAGAGTAAGACCCTGTCTCAAAACAAAAATTAAAAGAAGAAGAAAAAGAAGGGGAAGGAAGAAAGAAGAAGAAGGAGGAGGAGGAGAAAGAGAAGAAGAAGGAGGAGGAGAAGGAGAAGGAGAGGAGAGGAAAAGGAAGAAGAAGAAGAAGAAGAAGAAGAAGAAGAAGAAGAAGAAGAAGAAAAGAAGAAGAAGAAGAAGAATCCCTTCAAGCCGATTCTGTCCTTTTTACATTTGCATTCCTTTATCATCTATTTATCTATCTATCGATCGATCGATATTCCGTCACTGCATTTCTCATCTGTATTGCCTCATCAGAGGGGAGCCTGACTGTTCCTGGCAGAACACTGAGTCCCAGGAGTTTCTCACTCAGGAGAGGAATGCATGCTCATCACTGGGAGCTTCTGTTAAGGATTTAAGTGTGCTTTGTGGCACTGTGCAGACATGGTCTTTTAGAACTGTGCTCTCAATTGGCACTGATAAGCACTAAATTGTTTGGAGGATATTTTTAGAGTTCATCACACTGAGAGCTACCTCAGTAACTGTGTGTGGGTTTGCCTCAGCATGGACCCCCAAGAATAATAGAATATTACTAAAGGTGGCTAAAAACCCAGGACTGGGTCTTTGTGCTACGTTAGGCCTGGAAGCCTACCTTTATAAGTTTATCTAGTTAGGTGATAAATTGAACCTAATTATATAGGGTGCTAGACACATTCAGGCAAACTTTTATACAAGTTTATACACATCCTGAGGGACTTTAGTGGCCAAAGTCCAGCTAATTTTCTTAGGAAGTCCGTCCTTCCATATCAGAGACCTAAACCATCACCATAAGAGCTATCTTCTCTGATGCTGTCTTTAAAACCCAACCCTTCAGAACTGGGAACTGGAATGGTGTACTTATAGACACCCTTACAGGCACTCTGGGCTCTCGGTGTGGGAAGAGAAATCGTAGCACTGAGATTCTAAAGACAAAACCAGGGATGTTGGACACTGGGAGTGACAGCCAGGTTCTGTTCTCCAGCAGCAGTGACAGCAAGGTGGCCGATCTTCCCTTCTGTGGCTGCTCAAATCTCTTTCTAATCTGAGTAATTATCTTGGGTTACTTCTGAAAGGCAGAAAAACCTGTCTTTGCTTCACCCCTCCCCTTTTTTTCTGACATTGTAGTAAACAGAAACTGGAGGGTGAGTTCTAATTCAAGCGGCAACTCTGCCTTTCTTTCCTGCGCTGGTGAAAATAGATACCTTTGGTGGTCTTAAGGGGGTATGCAGCTTTTGAATGGTTCAAAGTTGGAGAGCAGAGTTTATGTTTCCTCCGCGCGTTTTTTGAAGATAGCCAGGTCACTAGCATTGCAGTTATGGTAAACAAACTAAAGATAGATCTTAGATGACTGACAAAAAAAAAAATGCCTGCCTTTGTCACCCAGGAGAAGAAGGATCCCCAGTGTGTGAAATTGTCCTATTACTCTGAACCTCCCAGTGACATCTCAAAACCTGGTGCAGGAAGACCTGGATCCATTTTTTTTTTTAATTATCAAAGATCACTACTTGATTTTCTGATTGAAAGCAGAGTCGGCTGTCAACAAAATGAGTTGCTTTCTCAGAATTTCTCCAGCAAATCATGTAGAAGGTGCCATGGCTCTGTGTTTCAGGTAGATCAAATGAGCTCGCTCAAGAAACCCTGGAGATAGTATTTGGGAGTTGGAGAGATGGCTCGGCCGTTAGGTGTGCTTGCTGCTTTGGCAGAAGACCAGGGTTGGATTCCTAATACTCACATCAAGTGGCTCACAATTGTCTGTAATTCTAGCTCTAAGGGATCTGACATCGGACACCTTCTTCTGGTCTCTTTGCGCAAGCGCGCGCACACACACCTACACATAAATAAAAACAAAACCTTTTTAAGAGTTACAAATTTCTCAGAAATGATAATATACTTTTGAGCTTCCGTTCAAAGAGTGGTAAATCAGAATAGAAAGTATTTTCTTAGTAAGTAAGGTTCTTAGCCTTGTAGGTGATGCTCTGGCCTCTTTTGGAAGCTGAGTCCTTTGGTCCTTTTCGTTCTGGTCATTTTTTGACCATTCTCTTTCCACATCCCTTGAGAACCCAGATGAACAAGTATAAGAGGCCCAGCTTCTGAAAGATCTTCCTGTTTCTTTAGTGTCCCCCCCCCTTTATGGGGAAGAGGCTGAAAATCCCTCTTTCCCTATTCAGGGTTGCCCCTGTTCCACCACACACAACAGAAACAATAAGCCCACATTGTGTTTTCCTAGCCTCTATGTCTCAGCAAACTCCTGAGTAAAATGAAATTCACGTGGTTTAGTTAACAACAACAACAATAAATGTACTCCAAAGAATTTCCCTATGCCTTGTAACAGTCTGAAGTATGTATGTGTCCCTGGTTGGAAAACTCTCCTTCACACACTGACTAGAAATTCAGGCTCGGTGTTGAGCTTGACCTGAGCTGGTCTATCAGCATCACCGATTCCAACCACCGGGATGGTGGAGAGAGCCAAGGCTGGAATTTTGCTTGTTAACCACCACTGAACTAGAAATACCACACATCATTAGCTAGAACTGATCACATGACCAAAGGAACTACAAGAGAATATGGGAAGGGTAGTTTACTCATGCATCCAGGCCCTGGCTTCTTCCTATGGGAAGAAATGGATGGCTATCCTAAGAGCTATGGTTTCTAGCATGGGTCTTTTGTTTTGGTTTTCTCACTTTTTATAAAACTGAAGAGGTAGCAGAATGAGGGCTTTCGTCCTCTAAGTTATAGATGAGAACACTGAGAGCGGTTTAGACCGTGTTCTGTCATGTGCCATCTTGACTTTGCTGGAGGTCTTCTGAAATGTGTCCTGTGGAAACCTTAACCTTTTCCCTGAAACTCATTCATGTTCTCCATGTGGCGCCTCTGAACATGCCCAGTGTAACGCTTTTCTCTTCTGACAGGCAGGGAAAAGCTTACTGGGTAGAGCTGAACCTTCGCGTTAGACTTTAATCTCAGTCTAGGAGGTGAAAATCACATCTACAGGGCGTGACCCCAGGGCCCTCAGAGGGCAAACTAGAGATTTTCAGATGGCTATCGTTAGGGTACAGAAGCCAAGGCTTCCTTTAGTGTTGGTAACAGGATACCAGATGGTACACTTACTTTCTGTTTTCATGGCCAAAGCCTGTGTCCTTGATTAAAGATAAGAGCTGGGCTAACTCAGTATAATGATCGCATAAAGGAACTCAAACGCCCTTCTAGATGTTTTCTGTCATTGAGTACCTCCTGTCAAAAACACTACTTTGGGGCTGGAGTATGTCCTGTGCTTCTTGTGAGCTATGTCATTTGGCAGCTGTGGCATCTGTTCCATATTTTCCTGCCCCAGAAAGAAGACGGGACCTGCTACATGGATTAGCAGCTCTGGAATGGGGAAGCGTTTGTTCTGTGGGCTCTAGAACTCGCCCTCGGATCAGGCCTGGAGAGGGGCTTAATGATGTGTGCTCTGCCTGGGAGCACAATGCTAGTATTGTTTAAAGCAAAGAAGAACGCGGAGTGGGGGGACTGGCAAGCCTGCCCTTATTAGAGCCTCGTTCA